TCACGGCCAGCTGCAACCAGGGTTCTTGCCCAAAGTCCCAGCAACAGAATGTCAACCATGCCTCATTCTGACTTGGTACTCTGAGTTCAATCCTCATCTAGCTCACTTATTAATTAGATTATTTATGTGTATCTGGTCCCGCAAACTTGACTGCAAGCTCCTTGTGAATGAGAAGCGGCATCTTTAAGTCACTGGGTCCACTCCCTTGGGCCTGGCCTGATACTGTACTGATCATGTGGTCACTTGAATCCCAAACTTCCACCCTGGCTGGGAAGGTCACACCTGCTGATAAACATGTAGCAAGTTCATAGTATATTAATGCTTGATTTCTAATTATGGATTAAGACTTTGATAACTTTGGCCTCCCAATGATTCCAGAGAGAATAATGCTGGTCTGAATACCTTAGCACTACCTTATGCTGGAATGACTTCAGGAAGCTGATCTCATTCAAGGATTTGCCTGTTCTATTTTTTAATTTTTCAGTCAAGAGATTTCCATGATTTTCCCTAAAGAGATTGTAACATGACAGTGGTTGTCTGTGTGGACACAGAGTTTCAAGTTTTACACTAAAATTTCCTCACACTTTCACTACCTTTATTTCATATTTTACCACATTAGGCAAATTCCTGTTTTGCAGTAGTACAAAGAAGCTGCATAACAACACTATTAATAAATTCTCTGCTCACATTATAAAGGTAAATTTTCAAAAGATTGTGACATGTAACATAAAGGAGAAACTGCAACTCCATTAAAAAAAAAAGGCAAGGCTTAAGTACATACAAATCTTAAAATGTTGAGGAAAATAAATCATTTAGTTTAAAATTTTTTTGCTGTTGATTTGGAACAAGTGTTTGGTCTTTTGAGACAGGGTCTTGCTATGTGGTTCAGGTTTTGAACTCACCATGTAGTCTAGGCTGGTCTTGAACTCACAAGGATCCTCCTGCCTCAGCCTCCTGAGTGCTGGGATTATAGACCTGCACCACTATGTCTAGCAATCTCTGAGTATTTATCAATGACTGCAGCTGCTGCTGCTAACCTCCTTTCTTTTGCTACTTAAATAGTTAATGTAATTTGGAATCCAACCAAAACAAAAGATGGTAAGTGACTGTGTAAACTTAATGGCCAAAGAAGTAATGAAAAATTTTTTATGTTCTGCATTCCAGAACAGACTTTCCCCTAAAGAAAGATTTAGATCTTTGCTACTGGATTCATACTTCCGGAATGATCAGAAGACAAAGTTTACTTACAAAGATAAGTAGAAGGAGAGCACAAGCAAATGTTCACATTCACAGGGAGCAGAGACCTTTTTGTTTATTTGTTTGTTCGTTTATTCATTTTTTGTGGCACGGAGGATCGAACCCAGGGACTTGCACATGCTGGGCAGAGCTCTGCCACTGAGCTACACCTCCAGCCCACGCTGAGTTCTACTGGGTCTGAAACACTGCATAAAGAGGAGCTGCAGGAGGATGTAGGCTCCAAGAGAGAAGAGTTAGAAAATTCTAAAGCAGACGCAGTGATACAAATACATTTAAGAAAAAAATACTGTAATCAAGGTGACTTTAGTCAATCATAAGCAAGAAAAGTGACCTAAGACACTGTTCAGTTTTCTGAAACACTTGCTTATGTGCTGGTGTACACCCCGGGTCCCTCAAATGCTGAGCCATAGTTAAGGAGACACCTGCCTCTATAACAAGTCAGTATTTCAAAGAACAGACAGTTATCTGCAATTCCATTTACCTCATCAGGAGATCCAGAATGCCTTTCCAGAGAAAAGCAACTCTAACCCCTCAATTAGGTTGCAGCTACAGTATTTCAGCCACTGTTCCTCACAGCAATGTAGGAGATACATGCTATTATTATACTCAATTTTCAGATGAGGAAACTGAGGCAGAGAGATTAAATAACTGCCCAAAGGTCACACAGTAAGTGTTGGGATTCAGGATTCACACAGGCAGCTATGCCCTGACCTAGGGTGTTTGCTGTTTGTCAAATTCTTTTTTTTAATTCCTTCCTTCCCTCCCTCCCTCCTTTCTTTCCTTTCTTTCTGTTTCTCTCTCTCCTTTCTTTCTTTTATTGGTACTGGAGATTGAACCCAGGGGTAGCTCTGCACTGAGCTACCTCCCTGGCTCTTTTTATTTAGAAATGAAGTCTCACTAAGCCTCTAAATCCTCTGGGCTGGGCTGGAACTCGCAATCCTCCTGCCTCAGCCTCCCAGCCTCCCAGAGTGTTGGGACTACAAGCATGTACCACCACACCCAGCTAGCACACAAAATTTATGCTACCTCGCTCTAATACTATACTTTCTAGAATGAAGAGCTTCCATATAAAAACTGAACCTATTAAGGAACTGGGGAGCTCTGTCTCGAGTGAATTTAGAAATAAGAATGCCCTCGGAGTTAGTTGAAGGATCAGCTGAGATTGGCCACACCACCCCATTGGTTTGACAAGTGACTTTAGGAAAACCAGATGACTACCAAACCAGGAAACTCTCAAGGGAATGTGTTAGTCTCAAGGGCTGAGCCATGGACTCAGGCAGCCTCTCCAGGAACCCTGTGTAGCAGAGGGCCACCCCACTGGCAGAGTCAAGTATCCAGTGCCTGTTGGGATGAGAATCCTGATGTTACCTACCCCGTGTGGTTTGATTTCAGTGAGAATGTACCTAGAGCAGCCTACGCAAATATCCAAACTGCCTGACAGTTATTTTTTTGGTGAATAATTAACAATGAAGCCTGGTGAATAGATTTGGGTGTGTACCAAGATGAATCAGCTTCCTGATCAGATCTGGAGCACTGGGAAAACTGAACTTCTGGATTTAACCTCATTAAGATTGACGGTAGATTAGGAACCAGTTTTGTCAAGGATCGTGACACCTTAAAAGTCTTGAAGCAGCCAACACACCTCTTTCCCTAGTGATCTGACTTCACTATACACACTATGTAGAAAAATTATACAAGGAGGGCTGGGGGTGCCACTTAGTGGTCAAGGGCATGATTAGCATGCATGAGGCCCTGGGTTCTATCCTCAGTCTCACACACACACACACACACACACACACACACACACACACGTGCACACGCTACAAGTCTAAATAACATGGAGCTTTTCGTTCTGGAAATATAAAGGTCACATCTTACACGCCTGAAGTCTATAGTAGCTTGAAAGATATGGCTGACAATTATTTGCTAATTTCTGGAATTAAAAACTACAAAATGACCTTCAGATATTAAAAAGGTTATTTTTGCATACATAGGTGCACATTACAGGATGCAAACTTCATTCCAAGGGGATGAAAATGAAATCCCTTTGGAGTTATCAGGATCCTACTAAGATCAGAGTCCTCATCTGGACCACACAGAACATACGATATACAGGAAGTAGCAGAGCCCCTGTTCTCTGCTCTCAAGTTGTTGGCAGTCTACTGGGTGTTAGGACAAAGACCCAAAGGCTGCAGTGATAAAATAGATTAGTAAGAGCAGAACAAGAGAACCCGTCTGTATGCAACAGCCAGTGTGGTCACCACCAGGCGTCCTCCCAAAAGCCTCTGGGACTGGTGGGCCAGGTGCTGTCGGGGTCACCTTGCACTCACTCTGGCCCGTCCACACTCTGCAGCTCCCAGACAGCCTCTTATTTGGACCACTCACTTTAAGATGCCTTCTTACAGGTGGTTCTTTAAACCACGCTCCCTCTTCCGGAAGGCAGGGTCTCCACCTCACTCCTGAATCATTTAGTCTCAACAGTCCAAAAGGACAGAAAAGGAGGACAGACTGCAGCTGGCACTCACACAGGAAGGTATTTTCTTCCTGAGACCCTCTATGGCCTCTCCCAGGGACTCCGAATTAGCAGTTTGCCTGGACTAAAAGACTCCATATTCCAGCTGAAGAAGATGTGAGCTAAACAAAGGGCCAGGAGCCTTCAGGGGCATCACTTCTGATCCGAGGCTGAGCAGACAAAAGATTAAGATCCACGAGCGACAACTAGGCAAGTTTCCAAAGCAGAGGCCTTGAAATCTGATGACTGCAGATGCTGGGCAGAAGGTGGTGTAATGAGAATCCACACACATTTGGGAAAGGGGCACCCTCCCGCACCCCGTCCTACTCTTGCACAAGGTTAGCATAGAAAAGGGATCATGAAATAAAACTAATTTTTACATTTGCAGTCTTTCGAGTCCCTATAGTTTGCAATCGTAGTCTTACTGGGAATGGAATTGACAAATCCAAGGTCTTTCTCTCTCTTTCCACAAAGGGTATATATTCTCTTTGATATTGTGGGAATAAAGCCTGTTTTACCAAGAGAGGAACAGTTAAGCAAATGTCTTCTGGTGTCTCAGCCATCTTCACTTGCTGTTCTATCTTTATGCAAAATACAGTACTGACTTCCTCCCAATCTTGTTTTGCTCATATGTAAAGCGGGGATTATAATCCTATTTGTGATCATACTGAGCATTACATGACTAAGCAGAAGCACAGTGTCTGGCATATACCACGCTGACAATACCAGGTTGCAAGCATTTTCTTAAAGCCAGAGTCACTGTCAGTTTTTGTTGTTCTCTCTCTCTCTCCCTCTCTCTCTCTTCCCTCCCTTTCTCTCTCTTTCTGGCAAAACTGGCAGGCCAGAATCATCACACCTCCTATGATCTGAATAAATATATTTAGATGTCCCCTGGCTGGAACTTTTAGAACAGCGTAGGCTCCGTGGACCAACTGGTGGAGTACACAACTCATCTGTGTGCCAAGAATTCTGGCCAAAACTTTTTAAATTGGAAGAAAGTTCTTAGACACACAGCCCGTGCCCTTCTCAAAGACCATCCCTGAGCTACCACGAGGCTGGAGCAAGCCTCGCCAGGCTCCCCGCAGAAGTCTCGGAGTCCACCCAGAAACACGACAGCCCTGGAAGCGAACTCGGCGGGGCGCGGAGTGCGGAGCGCGCCGCCGCCCGGTCCTCTCCGCGCGGCCCAGCCCGGCCCGTCTTGTCCCTCCCGCCCGCGTGCGGCTCTGCTCACCTGGTGGGCTGGGCGGCGGCGCGGAGGCCAGGTGCAGCAGCAGCGGCAGGAGCAGCAGCGGCAGCCTCGGCAGCGCGGGGCTCCGGCCGGGCCCGCACCAAGCCATGGCTCCGCGGTTCTCGGGCGCGCCAGGAGCTCTTCCCGGAGCGGCGCTGCGTGCGTCCCCGAGGTTGGCGCGTCCTTAACTTTCCGCTGTCACGAGCGCTGCCTCCTGGGGCTCTCGAGGGCCCGCAAGCCAGCGTGGCCTTGGGGAACACCTTCGTCCTGCTGGCCTTGGGCTGGGGAAAGGCGGGTCCTGTGGGCCTGACCGTCTAGCAGCCTGTGGGCCGGGCTGGGAAAGTTCCTGCGCCGCGCGCCGCTTTCCCTCTATCCCCGGCAGGTTTTGGTGGCCCAGGGCTCGCGGGCAGCCGTTCACAGCCGCAGCACCAGCCCCTGCCTCCCTGTCGGCCACTCCCGGGCAGTGAATGAGACGCCCAGACCGACAGCAGACAGCACACCTTTGCCTACGCGCAGCTCTGCTGCCTGGACATTTTGAAGACGAGCTCAGGGGTCCCACACCCTAGCTGTTTAACCCAGGTCCGTTCGCCACAGCTGGAGACTTTTGATCCTCGCTTCTCTCCACTGGCTGGGGCCACCCCTGGGGCATGACTCCCCCAGGGCGGAAACTAGGTAGCCCCAAGCCCCTGAAGGCTCTCCATTTCTGGTCAGGGTCAGTGGCATTGTGAAGTAGGTAAGACTATGCCTTGGGTGACTTTGTGAACTTGGCAAAGGGTGACCCAGGTGACATTGTGAAGCAGGCGAAGGGGCTCAGTGAGCGCTGAATGGGCCCATCTTTTGCTTCAGTACCAGGGGCACAAAGCCAAGCCGGGTAAGAGCCGCCCTGCCACAGGCAAGAGGGGACAAAGCCCTAATGTTTATAGTAAAAGAGCTATGCTTGAAGTGCAGTGGAGGCCGCCAGGAGCGGACAAGCACTACTCAGCCCCCGCTGCTCTCTCTCGGCCTTCCCTCTAGGCTTAGCTAAGGTGTCGGGGACATGAAAAGAGGGAAATACAAGTCGTGATAGAAAAATATACAAATGTTTAATTTTTTTAAAAAAAATATTACCTAAAAGATGCATTGCCATTAACGCCCCTCAAAATCCTGCCCCTTGCTTGGAACACACTTAGCCCATGGTTCTGCTTACTTTCTGAAGCAGTTCGGGAAGTCCTCTTTCCTACTGTCTTTAGTTGTGCTGAGGGGACCGCTTCAGTGGTGTGAGTCGATTAAGAGTATTTACCTGTCAGCATCGTGTTGATGTTGAGGAAGAGCCAGAAGTCACCCAGCGCCAGATCTGGTGAAGAAGGTAGGTGAGGACACACCCTAACGTTTTTACAAGCCTCCCTTCTGTTGGATGGCGCTTGTCTGGAGAGTTCACTGTATTTTCTTTTTGTCACACCTTGTAAAGACATTCATGAAAGAGGCAAAATGATGGGTAAGTGTGTTTGAAGTGAGGTAGAATATTTTGAAGGGGATTAATGGTGATATGTCTTTTACTGTACATTTCCTTAAAATTTAAACATTCCCCTTATAATTCCATCACACCCTGTACATCTGTAATTTTTAGAAATGGTATAGAAAAAGGTACATCACATCCCATGCAAATTACAAGACAGGAGTCACAATTTTGTTTGGTAACATTCATTTAATGAAGGAAGGAATTGAGCCCATTGTAACAATTGCACATGTTCCTTCAAGTTAGAAAATAGAAATGAAGGAAAATTACTAACACCTCAGTTGTGTCATCGGGAGGAGAGGACTGCATTAGGACACCCCAGGAAGTTGTGCCACTCGAGATATTTCAGTCACACTGCTTTGGGCCACCCTTCTTCACCTTACTAACTTTGCATCCATGGAGCCAGATGTGCTGATGAAATAATGCATATAAACATGACTGATGTGAACCAGGAGGCATTTGTCCATCCATTGGTCAATCACCAAATATTTGTTGACCACTATGTTCTGGGCATGTTTATATGTACCATATAGGGAAATGACAAAGTTGCTACCATCACAGATGCAGCACTCTAATAAGGAGAGCAAATTATTTATGTCAACAAATTAATTGGATCAGTTTCTCAACCTTGGCCCTATTGAAATTTTGGACCAGACAATTTCTTGTTGTGGGAGGGGTCACCCTGTATACTCTTTGGCCTTCATCTGCAGGATGCCAGTAGCACCCCTACCAATACTAGTTTTAACTACTATAAAAATATCTCCAGACATTGTTAAATGTTCCCCTAGGGTGCAAAATTGCCCTTTCTTGAAAATTACTGGATTAGTTTATATACCTGCAAGAGAAAAGTGCAGCAAAAATCACTCATGAAACTGGGGATTTAGCTCAGTGGTTCCACCGCCTGCCTCGCAAGCGCAAGTTCCGGAGTTCGATCTCTGGTAGCAAAAAAAAAAAAAAAAAAAATCGCTCATGTTAAAGCTGAGGTTAGGAAGATCAAACATTGGCTGTGAAACAATCTCACCACTTCTGTAATGGATAGTGTCATTTGGGGTTCTCATCATCCATCACCCTATTTCTGGTAAAAGCTTTTCACAAATGTGGATTCCATTGGTGTAGAGTTTTTTGTGAGTAAGAGTGGAGATATGTTTCCACCAGGTGACACAATGCATAGTTTTAATGAATTAAAATTTAAAAGCACTATCTGTTTTTTTCTGAGCTCCTTTGAAAGAAATGGGCAAGAATAGGCATATAGTATTGGTTAGAGTAATTCAGCCTGTTTTTTTCAAGAAGTAATTGCACTCCTACATAGCACCAGGGGCTGGAGCAGTAGAAGGAAGGGGGGGGGGGGAGTCCCTTGTGTTACCCTATATTAGAGAAACAGTTGATAGAAATCTTGAATGTCACCTGGGCGGCATCACCAGGGAGGGGCTTGATCTCCTTACCCCAGTGGGCAAAGAAAATATTTCAATATATGTGCTAATTAGTTTCATTTATACTACTAGTTGATTTTAGTTGATTGAAAAGAAAGATTTGTGTTATTATCTGTTTCTTTTTTGTAAGAGTCTTTTTGGTTTGTGTCTTGTACTCTTCTGGGTAACTACTTTGAAGATAATGGTACTCAGTATCATAACTATTGTTATTCTCTTATTATTAGATTATGAAATTTTGTTTTCATTTTTTATGAAAAAGAAATTAAAGAAAAAAAGAACTCTAACCAGCCAAGATGCTGGCCCAAAGCAAGAGGAAGACAGAAAGGAGGTGGAGGAAATCATAAATATCACGTATTGCTGGATGATTGTAACAAGAATTTAGAGGCTTGGCCTGCAGATCCCTAACAGGTAAACTAAAGAAGTATAAAGCTTAATATTTCTGCCTTCACTGTATATGTCTCCCTTATAACCTTAATACTTTAGATCAAGCTAGGCATAGTGGCACACACCTATAATCCCAGCACTTGGGAGGAGAACTCCATAAATTCATTGAAATAATGCAATGAAAGTTTATTATACCAATCTCGAGTGTCAGAATTAAAGGAGTATAATACTTAGTAAGTATTATAGTAAGTATTATACTTATAGTATACTTATAGTATACTTATAGTAAGTATAGTATACTTATAGTAAGTATTATACTATTATATAGTAAGTATTATACTTACTTAATTAATAAGTAGCTTTCTTCCATGTAGAAATTTAGATGGTAGGTTTTTTATTAGTGCCTCAATCTTATTGCCTGTTATTGGATTATTCAGGGCTTTTGTAACTGCTTGGTTCAGTTTTGGTAATTTATATGTATCTAGGAATCTATCCATTTCTTCTGTATTCTCGAATGTATTGGAGTACAGGTTTTTTAAGTAGTTACAAATAATCTTCTAGATTTTCACTGTGTCTGCTGTGATTTTGCCTTTTGTTGTGTTTTTCTAATTGCATTGACAGGGTATCTTATCCCTCCTTTGGGTAAGATTGGATAAAGTTTTGTCTATCTTGTTTATTCTTTTGAAGAACTAGCTCTTTGATTCATTCATTCTTTGTAACTTTTTAGTCTCAATTTCATTAATTTCTGCTCTGATCTTTATAATTTCCTTCATTTAGCTTTGGGTTTGAATTGTTCTTATTCTTATAGGACCTTGATGTACATCATTAGGTTATTTATTTGGGCTCTCTGTTTTTCTGGTTTGGTCATTTATAGCTATAAACTTCTCTCCTAGGATTGCTTTCACTGTGTCCCACAGGTTCTGGTATGTTCTACTGACATTGTCGCTTGATTCTAGGAACTGCTTAACTTATTTCTTGATTTCTTCAATGATCCATTGATTATTAGAGTGTATGTTTAATCTCTATGTGTTTGCATAATTTCTGTGGTTTCTTTTGCCATTGATTTCTAGTTTCATTGGATTATGATCTGGTACTATGCACAGGATAATTGTGATTCTTTTGTGTTTATTTAAGCATGCTTTATGTGCTAGATACAGCCTCTATTAGAGAAAGTTCCATATACTGCTGAGAAGAATGTATATTCTGTTGCTGTTGAGTGAGGCACTATAAATATCTATTAAGTTATTAGACATTTTGGCATTGTTGGCTTCATTGTCCCTTTCTAGGATATCCTGGAAATTTTTTTATACTGCTGGTTTGATGGTCATGAATTTCTTAAGGTGCTCTTTGTCACGAAAGATCTAATTTCTGGAGCCTGGGATTTAGCTCAGGGGTGTTGCTGCCTGCCTTTCAAGCACAAGGGCCTGAGTTCAATCCCTGGTACCAAAAAAAAGACCTTATTTCTCCATCAATTTTGAAAAATAGTTTTGCATAATGTATTAGTCTGGGTTGAAAGTTTTGGTTTAGAGATTGAAACACTTGACTTTAAGCTCTCTCGGTCTTTAAGGTTTGTATTGAGAAATCTGGTATAATTGTAATAGGTTTACCTTTATAAATGATTTATTGCTTTTCTCTAATAGCCTTTTTTGTTTTTTCTTTAAAATTTTTTTTATCAGTACATCTTTGCAGTACATAATGATTACATTCATCATGAGGAGTTGGTACATGTACACAAAACATTTTAATTCTTTTCAAATCCCCTTCCCTTACGGCTCAGCTAGATTTTTCCTTAACCCCTCCCCCCATTTATTTCTTTCCTTATTGTCCAATGGCTTTTAAGAGTTTGCCTTGGACTTCTGGGATTGTGACTATGATATTTTGCAAAGAAGTTCTTTTCTGATCATGGTTATTTGGGGTTCCATATGCCTTGCTTATCTGTATATTAAGTTCTTTCCCCATATTTGGAAAGTTTTCTGCTATTATGTCTGCAAAAATGCTTTTTAAAATTCCATTTGTGCTGTCTTCTGATTTTCCACTAATTCTAATTAATCTTAGATAGCCTTCTTTGAATCATCTAGCAGCTATTGGATCCTTTTCCTTCAACTCATTATTTTTAAGGTATCTCTGAATGTATAATCATTTCTATCAGCCCTATCTTTTAGTTCTGACACTTACTTCTCACATTGGCCACTTCTGCTGCCCACACTTTTATTTAAATAGAACTTTTTATCTCCTGGATTTCTGTTTGGTACATTTTCATGGACTCTTATTCTTTGCTAAACTAGTCATTCATGTTTTGTATCTTTTTGTTAAAACTCAGCTAGCTTTTTATTAGTGTCTAATGTAAGATCACTTATCATTTTCTTTATTGAGCTGATTATCTGTTTAGTTATATCATCTTTGAGTTTGCTGAATACCTTATTGGTTTTTCTCTCTTCTTTTATTTTTTGTATAAAAATACAAATTTTGTATAATTCAGCCATTTGACTTTACTTTCTCTCCATTGATGTCATATGGCTCTGGAAGAGTTGGGAGTTTTTGGAGGCATTTTGTTGTCTTATTTTCTCATGTTTCTATAGTGTGTGAGTCTGTGTGTGTGTGTGTGTGTGTGTGTACACACACATGTGCATATACTGAGGGTTTAGAATCAATTATAGTGCAAAGACTTTGTTACTAGTATGGAGATTTCATTAGCTGGGGTCTGCTTTCCAGTTATGCGCTTTGGGCATGGCTAACTATGGACCTTTGCCTTTGTCTAAAGATCTGACCACCCCCATTACCCTGGGGACTTGAGGGTGCAATGTAATTGGCCCAATACTCAGTTAACCAGAAATTAAATGCAGCATTGTTGATGACACAAAGACAAATCAGACATTGACATACAGTAAAAACCAATTAACAGAACAATTAATCACTCTCACAATAACAATGAAATCAGTAACAATAATAGTCAGATAAACTGGTTATAACAACCAATAAAAGCTACCACTGTACCACATGTAACAAAAAAAGAGAGATCTTCAGTAATGACATAGCCACAAAGAAAAACCAAATATTGATCTACAGTAAATATCTACTAAATACAACAACTATTCCGTCATTAACAATAGAAAAGAATTCAACAATAGTAGCAAAGAGTCAACTAACTATCCCAAGATTAATAAAGCTTAATAATAATACTTATAAAAATGGAGAGTGTGGAGAAAAAGAATTGAAATTGGGAAAATTTTTAAAAATGAGAAGTAGGAGACAAAAATGAGATAAAGGATTCTATTAAGGAGTAAACCAAAATTAACAGTTAGATAAAAGTAAGAGACAAGAAAAAGAAGAAAAAACAGAACAAAAGAAAGAAAAATGAAGAAAGGAAAGAAAAAGAAAAGAAAGACCTCCAAACTCAAAAAGAAAGAAAAAGAAAGGAAAAAGAGAAATTATCCCCCCCAAATTCCTACACGGTGCTTTAAAAAAATTTGACTTTTTTATTGGTAATTTTAGATGTACATAATGATAACATTCATTATAGGGAATTTGTACCTGTACATGATACATCTTGCTTCTTAGTTTTTCTCATTCTCCTCCTCTCCCTCCAACTTCTCTTCCTCTCCCTATTCACAAAAGCTTTGTTTCCATTTTTTTCTTCTATTCTTTTTCCTCCATGTTTTTAAATGAGTGGTTTCTTTTCAGAATCTGCAGTACTTGGAATCCACTAGATATGGGGAAAGCTTAGTGAATCATTACTAACTTGTTATGGCTTGTGTTTAGATGTTCCCCCAAAGCCTCATCCTTTTCCAGATGTAGTTAAATCTAGATCCTGTGATTGACTCATGATGGGGTTAGGCCCAAGGGCACTAGGATTAAGGGCATGCACGTTATCCACCCTAAGTAGTCTGAAAAAGATAAAAGGGCAGAAAGACACTATTAAGAGCTCTCTCATTGCCTTGCCTTTCCTACCTTATGCAGGCCATGTTATTTCTCCTCTGCAATACCCACTTGGCATTCCTGTCTTGACGCCAGCCAATTATGGACTGAAACCTCTACAAACTGTAAGCTAAATAAACTCCTTTTCCCTTTAACTTTTGGTGCCAGATATTTTGTCTCAGCAATGAGAGAAAAGTAACTAACACATAACTCCTATTTGTTTCCACATTCACATTTTTGTGTGTGAATAGTCAGTTCTTTCCTGTGTTTCCTAATGGGTGTGATGGTCAAAGGTGTCTGCCTTAGGGCTGTATTCACTCCAGCTGCTCTCAGTTTCCGTGTCCTTTTGTGTGTCTCTAGTCATTGCTTTCTCCACCTAGCTTTACAGCCTGTGCATTTGTGAGGTGCCCCCTGGGCCAGAAGCCTCTCTGCTTGTACACCCCAGGTGGTGGCAACTGTCCAAGCCTAGCTGTGTCCCTGATAATGTTGGCAAATTAGGCAACAAACAGACCACTAAGTTCTGTGCTGGATGTAGGCAGTGGGGATTGGGGAAGGTGGTTAAGCAGTCTGCTGACTAGACTGAATGCCAGCACTTTCAGATTCAGCCCCTTCAGAAAACCACATGCAACTCTCTTGGCTTCTCACCATGTCCTGCCCAGTCTGAGTTTAAGCTTCTCTGGGAGTCTATGTCTAGCCTGCACCCTCTCCATGACTGTCTCTTGTGGTCATCTCCAACCCAGTCACTGTGGCAGAGTGACCCCCAAAACCCTGAAGTGTAGTTTTCTCTAGTTCAGTCTTAACCCCTTCCCCAAATGACTCCCGATTAAATATTCTCAAGTGTGGTGGGCACTACACTGGATTTATTCTCCAACTCTAGCCTGTCACATAGAATGAATTATTTTCAGAGTAAAACCTCATGCTGTCTTTAAAGTTTATAGTAACTATAGGCTTTACTGCCAGCCTGGGTCCATTGTTTCTTCCTAGAGCTGTTTACCCCCTCCAGACTTACCTTTTGTTTTCAGAGACAGGTCCCCCTCCCTATTAGCCAGGATTAGTGTTCCGGACTGCTTCATTTTTTTTTTCTCTTCCTTGAGCCCAGTTTCTACAGCTTTCTTTGGTTTCTAGTTTTCTTATCAGTTCTCTCCTGATTACCAATGAAGATCTACTTTTCTTTTCTTTTTTCACCTAGTTGTTTTCAAAGGATCTCATTTCCAGGTCCCAGAGAGGCTATGTTTTGCTGATAGTCTTTACTCTGATCTTTCAATTCTCTTTATGTAGAAGTTTAGGAATTCATTGTCTTTTCATCTTGTTGCTCCACCATTCCCCAAGGCAGAGGCTTCCAAAGTTCCTTGGTTCATAAATGCCCTTTGAATCTTAATAATATATTTTCAAGGCTGCAGAGCAAAAGAAAAATACCTAATAGTTCTTTTTATTTTATTAAGTAGTGAGGGCCAAACAATTTAATAGTAGTTATTTGCTCAGTGTCCAACAGACAGAGCTGTTTTCCCAAGAAATATAAAGCATCCCAAAGAGCCCATTATAGTATATTCTACTATTACTACTTCCTATAAATATTTAATAGATCCTTTGATACCCATTGTGAATTTACTGTGATTGCCAAATTGTATGTAGGAACCATCTCCTGATGGCCGTGAAGTCTTTTCTTTCAGCCAAAGGGTACAGGGAAAGCACACCTGCTTCTCAATCACTTTTGCTTGCTGTCCATTGGCAAGAACTAGACATATTGCCATCCTGTATGCTAAGAACCTGGGAAATGCAGCTTCCAGCTGAGATGTGACCTCTTAGGATGGAAGCAAGGACATACAGTGGTAGGCAGCCAGTTGTTTCGGACACACTTGGTTAATTCTTCATCTTGACTTTGATCCTAGTGGGGCCTTGGCTCATCCTTGGACCCTTCTGAGCCCTATGAAATAGCAGTAGCAGCTTAAAGTTACCCTGATCTAGTATTTATTCATCAGTGAGCCTGTCTTGAAGTTCCTCTCCCTTAAGCACCTCTCCTCAGTCATTGCTACTGTACAACCCCAGTGCCATGTGTTCCACGTGGCTTCTTTTCAAGGATTGCAAGTGCACAGGCTACACTGTAGGAAGTTTAAACATCATCTCTTCTGTTCTGGTAATTCTAGATCTGCCTTGTGTTTGTATTACTAAGTATTTCCACGCCCTGCCCCACCCCTAGAGGCAGGATGGTGCTAGGCCCTTCACCTTGATCTTCTGTACAGTTTTTCTCTTATCAGCTCTTTGGACTTTTTACTTCTATGGAAAGGAATTAATTCAACATTAGCAAATATCTTTACTCCAATTTGTTGTTCTTCAATATACTGTGTGCCCTTTTATTTCACTCTTTTTGTTTTCCAAGCCAGATTTTTGAATATTTCAAAACATTTTTCACTGATAAATACATGGATCTTACATTTTAATGGCTCTTGAAGACTATTATCTTTCTATACAGGAGCTCAAAAAGCCAGAACAAATTTAGACTTTGGTTTTCTAATGTTTTTGTTTTCTTCTCCCTTGATCAATGAACTTCAAGCCTCTTGCATTGAATCTAGTGGTGGAAGATTTACTAGGTTAATTGATTTTCCCTTCCTTTCCTCTTCTATTCCTCCCTTAGATTGTATAGGTTGTGTTGTTAATTAAACACACCACTAGGTCCATGGTGTCAGAATATTGAGTCTGATTTGCTGCAGAACCAAGGAAAGGATGAACATTCCTCACAAATCCTGGGCTTGATCTTTCCGCTGTGGAGCTTGTCTTCACCACTGCAACAGCGTCTGTGTTTCTGCCTTCCACTGTCTTGCCCACTTGCCAGCCCTTTACGTGGCTGTCATCCACTGTCATTTTCAGCCTGCAGTGTCTTGTAAACTAAGTGCACAAAGTAGGAGCTGCCCTTGGTCAGTGGTGGCCCAGCTGCTGGTATAGTTTGGCTTTAGCACCATGGTGCTAGAGGTAAAATGTGAGTCAGGAATAGATGGACTTCAACAGGAGAGGCTGAGGTTAAGAAGGAGATTTTTGTACAGATATAATACTAATTAGGTAGTTTTAAAAATTTTTTTATTTTTATTTTTTGCAGAAGACAAAGTCAAGAACACTTTAACCTGATGGTAGGCACCTTCTTTCTCATCCTTACCTCCAAAGAGGCTGAAAAAGGTATTTCTGAATACTTTGGAACCAAGAGCATTTTCTGCATTGCTACTAAAGGATATAATTTTTACCTGGATGTTCTTTTTTCATAATTTCCCTAAACCTCTTCCTTCAATTCTTTCCTAAGTTGGGTGGCTACATCCTTGAGTAGCTGCCACCAACTTCTTCTGTTTCTTCTTTGCCCATTCTTACAGTTTTGGTATCTTCTCTTCATTCTACAAAAAGAAATACAAATGCAAAATAAAATCAATTAGCAAGACACAGTCCTTTCTTATGTTATTTAACCTTGACTGTAGATGCAAAATCTTCCGAAATTAAATGTTTACAGTTTCTTTTAGGTTATAAGAAAGGATTTAGGCCATTCGTTATAAGAAAGGATTATGGCATTGGCATAACAATGAATAAATAAGAAGTACCTAATAAATATTTGATGAATCTGGCTGCTGCTGATTAAATGAAGGCAATAAGAAGAAAAATTGGGGGCAGGGCCGGGGATTTAGCTCCGTGGTTTCTCTGCCTGCTGTGCAGGCGCAAGGACCTGAGTTCCATCCCCGGTACCAAAAAAAAAAAAAGAAAAGAAAAATTGGGGGCAGTTAATTGTTAGGAAGTGGCCAGAAATTAGCATTTAAACATAACCCAGAGTCAGATCTCCAGACTTTTCTTCTAAGAAATGTCCCATTTTGATTTAGTCGCGTGAACTGGACAAACACCTCCTGGACGTGGGGAACTAAATAACTGTGCACATCAAGTTTCTGTACAACTTTTGTCAGAGAAGGAAGTTCTTGGAGCACTGTCCGAGAAATCTGAATGCTCCTATTGTTGAGAAACACATGCTATCTGCTAGGCCTTTCAAGTTAAGATGAGTGCTAAGAAACGAGAACTAACGTGACAGAAGAAGTTTTTGAAGACGAGGGAGAGGATGCGCCACTCTGAAATCTTGGCTTTATAAAAAATTACCAATTTTGGCAATCAAACAAAAAGTTTAGAAAATATTTTTCCATCTTCCATAGAGTGTGAGAAAACATGACCTCTATTTACTAAGAGAGGAACATTTATAAAGAAAAACAGATTGAAAAGAAAAATGTGTGAGATGAAACGGGAGACAGATATAAGAAAAGGTTTGGTAAAAACCAAAAACTTTAGTGGTAGCATTAACATTTCCATTGGAGGCTAATAGTAAGAGGAGAAACAGACATTGTTTAAAATGAAGTAACTGGGGGGACAAATTGAAGAAATCTTCCAAAGATGAGTGGCAAAGACATAAAGATCAAAATGAAAAGGAAGGTAAAATGTAAAAGAAGGAAAGCCTTCAAAATTCAGTGTAAAAATGATCTGTGTTCTGGATCAAACTAATTATTATCAAAGAAATGCTATCAAGAAAACTTTCCAGAGCTGAAAACCAGCTCTTCCTCCAGCTGTGCTGTGCTGGGCGGTGTGCATATCACCTCTGTGGTCGTCTTGGCAAAAATACTTCATCTAAGTGAAGTTCTAAGGACAAAATCTGACTGGGCCAACTCATGGGTGTGTGAGAATCCCAAAATGTAAATAATCCAAAGAGCAAAATAAAAGGTAGCTGCTAGGAAACAGAGGGGTAGATTTGTGGAGATGGGAAGAGGATCTGAGGGTGGGGAGATGGGAGGGAAAAGAGAAGAAGGAGAAGTGAAAATGATTCAGGTGCAATATGCATATGTACCAGTTCCCCAAGATGAATGTAATTAGTATGTATCACAAATACTGTATGTGCTAATAAAAAGTAAAATTAAAAAGTGTCACTAGTTAATGGATACTCTTCTTCTCTGCAGTCCTCCTTGCTAAACCACATGTCTGGCATCCTCTTCTAAGGTAAAACAACCAAAAATAGAAGATCATTGGAATACACTTAGGCAAATAAGGACTATATACACAATGGCATACATTTTAAAATTTCTAGTGTGAGAAAATAGTTTTGTGGATGTGCAGGACATCCTAGCTTTTATAGAATGTGCCGGTGAAGTGTCAATGATGTCTTCAGCTTTCAAATGGTTTTGTAAAAATAAATATATACATCGCTAGACAAAAGGTAACTAAATATGACAAAAACCTAATCCTTTCAAAGAAGTTTTTCTTTTAAATTTAAGAGAGTAGCTTTTATATTTTATCAAGAAATTTTTTTAAAAAATTGAAATATAGTGGTTCCATTTCTTGACCATTGTGGGTAGTATTGTGATAAATAAGAGTGTGCAGTTATGTCTTTGATACACTGATCTCATTCATTGCCTTTGTATATGTACTCAGTAGTGGGACTGCTGGATCATATGGCATTTCTGTTTTTATATCTTGAGAAACCTCCCTACTGTTTTGTTTTCTGTGGTGCTGGTGATTGAACCCAGGCCTACCATATGCTAGGCAAGCATCTATCACTCAGCCGTAATCCCAGCCTACTGTTTTTAAGGGGCTACTTTTATTTTTTCACTGGCCTTCTAGCTAGCTTTTCTCATGTCCAGAATTTCCCTTTCCATACAACCACTAATGTCTAAGGTTGAGGCATCTCTTCTCTGTCTCTCTGAGAAGCCAGCACATTCCTTCTCTTATTGCAGCTTCTTTCTAGCCAGCTCACCTGAAAGTCTTTTAAGAGCCTTCTCAGGGCCAGGGATTTAGCTCAGTGGTTCTGCTGCCTGCCTTGAAAGCGCAAGGTCCCAAGTTTGATCCCCAGTACCAAAAAAAAAGAGCCTTCTCTCAACAAAATGGATCTCTCTAAAGGAAATTGAGTCTCAGAAGTAAAGACAATAGGTTTGGAATTAGCATGTACATGAAGGAAAACACTGTTAACATTCTAGAGTAAAGGGAAATGGGGAATGTTATGTAACAGGATTAAAAACTCGGATCATCTTTGCCTTCTTGGCACTTTGCAATACCAGAAAGCAACTGAGTCCCATCTGCAGATTTTTTGAGGGAAAAGGTTGTGATCATGAAATTTTATACTCAGCTAATTTTAGTTTGTGTGTGAAGGTAAAATTTCAAAGATACAAAATTTAAGCTTCTAGGAATCATTTTTGTAAGAATTACATGGAGGTACTTCAACTGACAAATCCAAATTCAGACAAGAAGAATAGGGAAGTCATCACATGTCTTAGTTACTTTTCTCATTGCTGGGACAAAACACCCACACCCAAAGTTAAAGGAGGAAAGGTTTATTTAACTCACAGTTCGTAGAGGTTGCAGTCCATCATGGGCTGGCTCCAAGCCAGAGTGACCTGGCAGATAGACAACACAGAGGAGAAACAGTTCATGGTGGGCAGAAGGTAGCAAAGCAACAAGGGACAACCACAGCTCTTTCTATCCCTTTATTTTATCCAGGCTACTCAGGGAGGGTACCACTCACACCCTTAATCCTAGTGCCCTTGAGCCTAGTGTTGTACCATGAATCAATCCCAGCCTCACACACTCTAGATCCAGTCACCTCTGAAAAAGCCCTATCTCTGACTGCATAAGACTTTGGGAGGACATCTAAACCCAAGCCATGACATCAAGCAAAAATTTAAGGAGGACTCTTTCATCCAGTTTTTAAAATCCTAGATCTCAAATTCAGGACTGAAGTTGGTTCAGCATCCTCTGGTGGATTCCACAGCCAGGGGAAAAGAAAGGTTGCCCCTTGGTGCTTCCCTTAGCAGGACTTCATTTTTCCCTGTATCCTTTTTGCCCCATGATACAAAGTGCATTTCTCAGGCTTCAGACTCCACAGCATGGGACACATCACAGTTGGTGACCTTGGCTATGGTTGATGACCATGTAAAGCCAGGTGCTTTTCTGTGTATCACTTGCTGCCAAGTAACTTGGCTAGAACACTATATCAACAAGAATTACAAAACAAGCAAAGTTGCATAGAAACCATTTTCATTGCTAAATAAATCAAGCAATTATTTTGTACAATCTGACAATTCTTGTTGAATATTCAGTCATGTTTTGAAATATTGGCTATGAAAAACAATGGCTAAGGGATGCTATATAGCTGGCCCTCTGTATCTGTGGGCTGCGTATCTGGGGATTCAACCAATAGCAGATAAAAAATTAGAAAAACAGATTTGTATCTGTATTGAACATGTACAGACTTTTTTCTTATCTTTATTCCCTAAGCAATACAGTATAATATTTATTTACATAGCATTTATGTTGCACAGGATATTATAAGTAATTTAGAGATGATTTAGAGCACAGAGGAGAATGTGCATACATACAAATTCTACGTCATTTTACATAAGGGACTTGAGCATGTTATGGAAGACAACAGATTCAGGAACCAATCCCTATGGATACCAAGGGATGATCTTGTTAACAGTCATGAACCATATTTTCTTAGTATCCATCTTCAATGGAATGATACCAGACGCTTAGGTAGTATGAGATCTCTGGCTGAGCTAAAGTGGAGTCACGTTTGGACATATCTGATAAATGCATGAGTCCACAAGTATCCATCTGCCTATGTTGGTTTATACTGAGGAAGGAAGTGAGAAGAAAGTTTGTGTGTGGGCACTTGGGGTGAAGCAGAATGGGTGGAAGATGGAGGAAGGGATGTGAAAGAAAGTTTCGTGTCTTTCCCATATTTTGCCTGCCTTGTTAACTTGATTTGAGATCTTGAAGGAGAAAGAGGCTTCAGGCAAAGGAAGAGGCAGATTTCAAGAAGTTAGTGAGACATAGGACCATTAGAGCATTATTCTGATGCCAGATGCATCATGGGCCATGCATCCAGGAAGAGAAGCATACTTCCCATGTCAGTAAAACCCTAGAGGGGAGCACACTGTATTGACACCATGAAGGTAAAATGTGCACTGACCATGAAAACTCACCATAATGGTATGAGAAGAGTCCACACCTTAAATCTCATAATGGGATGGGCACACATTTGCAAGGTTAATGAAATGAAAATGGTGGCTGATGGGAGGATGGGAGTCAACTGCCAATTGTATCATAACCATATTTGTTTTACTGGAGTGAAAATAAGAATAATGAGTCTACATTATAATGAATGTCTCTGTATGCTGCAATTTATGGTCATTCCTTCCACACACGTCAATATTTTCTAAAAATATTCTGACAAGA